GGATGTGCGTGAAGGGTGGCACCGAATTTCAGAAATGTGGCAAATCCCCTGTGTTTTTGGACCCTGACCCCGCGGATCTGCGTGAGGGGTGGCACCGAATTTCAGAAATGTGGCAAATCCCCTGTGTTTTTGGACCCTGACCCCGCGGATCTGCGTGAGGGGTGGCACCGAATTTCAGAAATGTGGCAAATCCCCTGTGTTTTTGGACCCTGACCCCGCGGATCTGCGTGAGGGGTGGCACCGAATTTCAGAAATGTGGCAAATCCCTTGTGTTTTTGGACCCTGACCCCGCGGATCTGCGTGAGGGGTGGCACCGAATTTCAGAAATGTGGCAAATCCCCTGTGTTTTTGGACCCTGACCCCGCGGATCTGCGTGAGGGGTGGCACCGAATTTCAGAAATGTGGCAAATCCCTTGTGTTTTTGGACCCTGACCCCGCGGATCTGCGTGAGGGGTGTCGATTTCGAGCCCCCCCAGCAATTCAGACAACGCGCCCAGGAGACGCTAAAAATCCCGTTTGGGCCTCCCCCCCTCGCGCGGTCAATCAACTAGTTACAGTAACCAGCAAGAAGTCAACTAGTTACAGTAACCAGCAAGAAGCAGAACTGTAACACTGGAAACTACAACCTACGACTGGTACAGGAAGCTGCGAATCACGCGCCTCGCAGCCTGGTGGCCCCACAAGGGGGCCAGCGGATTTGTGTGTATTTATTTGTGTGTCCCAGGGCCCCTTCAAAGGAGCCGAGCGTGACAACACACACACGTTGTTCATGTCTACTCCTTCGAAGGTTCTTGGATTCTTTAAGGGGGGGCCAAGGTCTTTTCCCTGCTGAGTCTTCTGTCCTGGGCCTCTTCCTGGCCACAAATTAGGGGGCCAGGAACGATCAGGAGCGAGCGCACTCAGAAATGAGCACAAGTGGAAATGGACGACGTGTATCAAATGTGGCACACGTGGTAGTCACATTTGCTCGGATCCCGCTCGTTTGTTGTATCACACTTAATGTCACACTTGTTTTTTGTGATCGCACTTGTTTTCATTGCACCTGTTCTTGTGATCACTCTTGCTTGCAAGTCCCGATCCTTCCCCCAGGGCGGGCTTCTCTCTCGTCCTGGGCCGTTTCGCCGAACGCCTCCCGCCGCTTTTTTGCCTTTGACGACGAGAGCGAGCGCCTTGGGCGAGAGGCCGGTCGAACTCGGCAGCCAGGCGACAGAGGGCGTCGAGCCACCTGAGCGACGAAAAGGAACGGGCCTCGCTAAAACAGGGCTAGGATCGGGATAAATCGCTCCAGAGCGTTCCGGAGCGCTCTCAGAGCGTTCCGGAACGCTCTGGAGCGGCCGCGGCGCCCAATACATCCTCCAAACCCGCCGATCCTCAGAGATCTCGAGTTATCCCGATCCGATTTTGTCCCGATCTTCGCGTCGTTTTGCTCGCGCTCGATGGCACCGCGACCTCATGCCGCGGCTCGCGCGGGCCGCCGGCGTGGCGCACCCCGCGCCGAGAGGAGGGCGCCCACGCGCGGCCGGACGCGCGGGAGGCCTGCGCGCGCCTGCCCGCGCACACCCCGCCCCGCTCCCGTCCGCGGCTCGCCTGCCGAGCCGCTCCTGCCGCGGCGGCACCGCCCTCGGAAGGCCTGGGAAGGCCACCCGAGGAGGAGGAGGAGGGGGAGGAGGAGGAGGAGGGGGGGAGGGGAGGAGGGGGAGGAGGAGGAGGGAGGGGGAGGAGGAGGAGGAGGGCCGAGGGCCGACCCTGCGCGCAGCCCGCGGAGGGCCGGCGCGCGGGGCTCCCCCGCCGAGGTGCTCTCCTGGCGGGGCAGCGCGGCCGCCGCGCGCGCGCGCTCGCCGCGCGGCGCTCCGCGAAGGCGCGCCGACGAGGCGCTCCGCGGCGGCGCTCCGCGGCGCGGCCGCTGGGCGAGCACCGTTGGGCGCCGGGGGTCGGCGCTCGCGCTTGCCGGGGCGCGCCTCGCTGGGGCCTCGCTGGCGCGCGGCGCGGGTGGGGGCCCTTCGCGCTGGGGTGGCCCTTCGCCCTTCGCGTCGTCGTCGTCGTCGTCGTCGTCGTCGTCGTCGTCGTCGTCGTCGTCTTCGACGGCATCGTCGAGTGGAGGCCCAGACGTCCCACGTCATGACTCATTCCTGGCTGGCGGGGAGGGGCCTCGCTTCGCGTCGGGGTGGCCCTTCGCTGGGGCGGCCTCCTGTGCCTGCGCCTCCCCGGCGGGGCCCGCGCAGGTGGGGGCGAGGGTCCGCGCGCCACCTCGCCGATGCATCGGCGACGCGTGCCGAGGTGGGCCCCGAGGTTCCCCACGGCCCGCAGACGCGCTGACGGTATTTCTGCCAACGGCGATATGGGACAACCAATTTCGGGCCGGACGAAAGGGGGGGATTGGGAAAGGGGGGGTTACGAAATTTGCTGCATGCAGCTGGTTTCGGCCCCACCGAGGGGCCTATTCCTCTATACATAGCCGCCTCCGGCGCCGGGAGGCGCCGGAAAAATCAGCTACGTGAGCTGATTCTCAACCCCCCCCTTTGCTATCCCCCCCTTTCGCCCGACCCGACAATTGTAGGAAAGCATGGTATGTGGCCAAACCAACTGTATGAGCGCGGGGATCGTGCTTTCCTAACACTCGCTGCCGTTCGATATAGTTGCATTGTTTTGGAATGTGGGAACCAATGTTTCGTGATTTCCTACAATTTGTTCTGCGCGAGCTCGGCGTCACAAAAGTCGGATTCCCAACATCGCTGTGAACCAACATCGCCGTTAGCGCGGCCCAGGACGGCGACGTCGGCACGGTCCTCCGACCCCATCTGCTCGGACCCTATCTGGGAGGCCGCTATTCTTGGTGTGAGCCCACACGGGGCGCTCCAGGGCAGGGAGGGTGCCGTCGTCCAGGGGTCGAGCAGTCGGCATCTATTCCCCGGCGGCAGCTGGCGGAGGGCTGGCGGAAAGCGGCGAGGGCAAATCGAGGGCGGCTCCGCGGCGGAAGCCAGTGGAAACTCGCGGAAACAGTCAGGTGTCCTCGAAGAAGCGACAGACTGTTTCGGACGTTCGGGGCTTTCAGAGCCCGCCGCACGGGTCCACCCAGCATTGTTTCCATGTTCCATGTGCGCGCAGCCCACGCCCCCCACGGCGCGGCGGCGCTCCTCCGTCGGGTCGAGGAGCCTCGCTGGTGCTGGTGGCGCAGGCTGGCAGGGCGAAGGGCGTGCCGCCCAAGGTCTTCGCCCCTCTCTGGGGGGAGGAGAAGGAGGAGAAGGCGGAGGCGTTGGCGCAGGTGGAGGGGAGGTGGAGGTGGAGGCGCAGTCGTAGTCGTTTTTGCAGTCGTAGTCGCAGAAGTAGTAGTACTAGGAGTAATAGTCATAGTAGTAGTAGTAGTAGTAGTAGTAGTAGTAGTAGTAGTAGTAGTAGTAGTAGTAGTAGTAGTAGTAGTAGTCGTAGTAGTCGTAGTAGTAGTAGTAGTGGTAGTAGTAGTAGTAGTAGTAGTAGTCGTAGTCGTAGTCGTAGTCGTAGTCGTAGTCGTAGTCGTAGTCGTAGTAGTAGTAGTAGTAGTAGTAGTAGTAGTAGTAGTAGTAGTAGTAGTAGTAGTAGTAGTAGTAGTAGTAGTAGTAGTAGTAGTAGTAGTAGTAGTAGTAGTAGTAGTAAGTAGTAGTAGTCTAGTAGTGGTAGTAGTAGTAGTATCATACTAGTAGTAGTACATTACTCGTACTACTAGTATATACTATAGTAGTACTAGTAGTAGTAGTAGTAGTAGTAGTATAGTATAGTATTAGTAGTAGTAGTATATTGTAGAAGAAATGCAGTAGTCGTATTCCGTAGTCGTAGTCGTAGAGTCTAGTATTCGTAGTAGTAGTCGTAGTATATCTTAGTAGTAGTAGTAGTATTAGTAGTAGTAGTAGTAGTAGTAATAGTACGTATAGTAAGTCCAGTAGTTAGTCTTCGTAGTCAGTCAGTAGTAGTGTCGTAAAGTGGTAGTAGTCCTCAGTGGTAGTAGTCGTTAATTAGTAGTAGTAGTGTAGTATGTAGTAGAAGTAGTAGCAGTAGTAGTATTCTTAGTACGTAGTGGTCTTATTATTCTGAGTCCGTAGTAGTAGTAGTATTAGTAGTAGTATTAATTAGTAGTAGTAAGTAGTAGTAGTAGTAAGTGGTAGTCGGTAGTATATTGGTGGTAGTAGTAATCGTCGTCTTGTGGTAGTAGTAGAGTAGTAGTAGTAGTATATAGTAGTCTACTACTACTAGTAGTATAGTAGTCGTAGCCGTAGTAGCAGTAGTAGTCGTTGTCGTAGCCGTAGTAGTAGTGGTAGTAGTAGTAGTAGTAGTAGTAGTAGTAGTAGTAGTAGTAGTAGTCGTAGTAGTAGTTTTAGGAGTCGTCGTAGTAGCAGCAGTATTATTTGAATAAAAGAAGTAGTCGTCGTCGTCGTCGTCGTCGTTGTGGTTGTCGCCGTCGTCGTAGTGAGTCGTATGCGTAGGCGTAGTCGCAATCGTAGTCGTAGTAGTAGTACTAGTAGCCGTCGTCGTCGTAGTAGTAGCAGACGTTGAAGAAGAATATGTAGTAGTAGCAGTGGTAGTAGTAGTAGTAGTAGTAGTAGTAGTCGTAGTAGTCGTAGTAGTAGTAGTAGTAGTAGTAGTAGTAGTAGTAGTAGTAGTAGTAGTAGATAGTAGTCGTAGTCGTA